CATAACGATGCTCTACCCTGATTATGGGAGCGGAAGCCGGGTATCACTAACCTCAAGCCACGTCCGCGTGCTCTTTTGTCCTTAGAAAGTGGCGCGCTTCTGCAGCTGTGGATCCATTAACCCTACTCACAGCAAGGAGCAAGATCCATGAAGGGGTGTACACTTTATCGCTATATCCGGCCTTCATGTCCTCTGAGTAGTGCACCTGATTCTTATTAGCTACTAGTCAAAGATAGCGAGCGGTTTTTACCGTGCACGGCTCCACGTAGACTTTTTCTTTATCAACAACTTCTTGACCACCTTGGCACAGTAGGGTACCTGCGCCAGAAGGCCAGGGTCCACAGACCTACTACAACAGACTTGGACATGAATCCTTCTCCGGGACACAACACGGATCTCAAACAGCAGTCTCTGCGGCAAGATTCAAACTAGGTCGTAACATAATTTACGTCCATTAGTCCTACTGAGTATGCGAGTATACGAACAAACTCAAACGCCGAGCCATCAAAGTGAGCAATTAACAGCAGGAAATTAATTTGAAATCATTCGACTCGAGAGCAATAACGGAATTAATCACATGTAACATTTCAAGAGTAGACGGAGCTATGCATGCAGTTGCCACAAGTTGCACGAGCCAAACCGCAATGAAATAGCTCAAGAAGCCTGTGAGGAACGGGGATCTATTAGATACCTTCTATAAAAATGTTATCACCAGGTCCATTTCAAATGACGGACAGTCATGAAAGGCTCCAAACAAAAAAATGGTATCAAGTTCCTAGAAAGGTTGAACCTGTCACAATGTATGAGGATGACGGGAAGATTCTGTTATATCTTTTGAAATCAACCTTTCTTCTTATGCAGGGGGGGGGGCAAAAAAACACTTCGACCGAGTCACATATCAGCAAAGTTTTCGCAGCCCAGACAGAAGACGTGGATACGAGTACCAGGGCGGAAGATACCCAAGATGTTCCTCGATAAGCAGGAGCAGGCTCTCGCCCACCTTCATGTACACCAAAATATGAAGTCATCTCCAATCGCAGCCTGACTGGAGAAGGCCTATGGAATTCACGTCACCTCCAAACAGCTGCGAAACTTCTTGTATGGAGTCACCCATAGCTACTTGGAGACCGGCATTCTCCAGAAAGGGAGACCTCCAATATCGAGCAGCTCAGAGGCAAAACGTCGTTACGGTACAGGATACATCTTCACCGCAATCGTCAGCTCGGGTTGATGGTATGGACCGGAAGTTCTCGGAATGGAAAGACCGATATTTTCTTCCTGGATCCCGGACCGAAAGTGAACGCTGACGCTTACATCGACCAACTCGATGAGAATATCCTGCATCCATGTCGCCGCCTGTACCATCTTGGAAAGTTTGTACTTCTGCAGGATTGGGTGTTACCACATGGAATCGAAGGACGTTGGATAAACTCTCGCCTGCTTGGAATCGAAGGGAGTTGAGAATCTGAAGAAGATGGAACATCCAAGTGTGTCACCTGACCTGAATTCTCCGATTACTGGGCTCGAGCGGAGCTCAACAGGGTGGTCTACAGTGGCGGAGAAA